ATATATAAAGATAAGTCAATTATACAAAATATGCAAAAATATCATTATAATATTCATTTAAAAACAAGTTACAATAGTATGATTATACTGTAAGTAAATTAATCCATTTGATAAAAATTTAGTGACCATTATTTTTTTAAAGAATCGTAAAAACTTTGGATAGATATTGCTTTGAAAGAATCGTTGAAGGAATTAGCAAAAGGCGTTGTCAAAATTTTATTATAAAAGTTCGGTTGTTTATTTTAAAAATATACAGTATGTACATGCATATTAATATTTAAAATAGTGTGAAAAAACCATAAATGGTTTGTTTGACTCGAGAAATATCTTTTTTTATCATTGACTTACGATACAGTATATCGTAAACTTTGATTTTCAATAAATTAATAATAATTTTAAAGAAAAAAAATTTCGCAAGCTATCGTATGCCTTATTATTTTTATTATATCGCTCGATTTTAATCCTTGAGTCAATAGAATTTTATTAAATCAACTATGATATAATCGAAATTTTGAGATAAACAAAGTTCATCCGGAAAAAAAGGAATAACTTCAAGGTTACAGAATTTCTTGGGGAACAAGATTTAATATACAGTACTTATTCTATAGGAGAAAAAAAATGGTTCACCCACAGTATTTACAGTATTTTACCTGCATACACTACCTTTATCACCCTTTAACTTAAAAAATAGGAAGTCAAAGAGGTGATAAATGAAGATGGGAGATACGGTACTTTCATAATCCAAAAAAGCAATGCTTTTTTTTTTTTTTTTTTTTTTTTAGGTACTTCTTAGTTCCGTTTATACGAACCCAACACAGAAACCTTTTTGAATGGTGACAAATTGACTTTAAAATTCGGATGAATGGGTTTACAGCGACAAATCACCTCCTACAGTACAACGGTCACCAACCCAAGAATTCGATTTCATGGAAGGTAATACTGTGCATGTACGTATTTGATTTTTTCTATTTACGAAATTTCTAATTTACTAATTTACCCACGAACGCCGCCGCTGGCCAACAATCCACTCGGAATTAAGTTAACGGTTTTGTGCACCGACTCGATGTTTGGTAACATCGAGGTGGCGTTGTACAGTCGAAAAACGTGAGAGCTTGCATTTTTTATATATCGTTTTTCTCGACACGGCTAAGTTGGCGGTGTGTCAAGGGTGATAATTGCTCGAACGCGGAATTAATTTCAACTACACCAGAATCGAAAACATTTTTCTTTTCCTTAAATGCTTCAAAAAACGCCCGAGATTCAATGTTTTGTAAACAACGAGTTTTCCTCCCTTTCAAAACTTTGAATTTTAAAGAGACGGGGGGAAATGTAAAAACGGATCCCCGTGTGTCCAACTTGAAGCTGTTACTTCATTGACCGAAAATCGGAAAATGTACGTTCATACATCCGACAACGTTGCGTTGTTGCAAATGCCGAGATACACACCATTTCCTCTATTATGCCCGTTTGAGACCGGGATTCTAAAATCACAGATGCAGGTCTTTGTCTTATATGCGCCAATTTGGACTAATGAGGCTAGTCTAACGTTGAGCGCACATCATGTGATTTCGCGTAATCATTCGACACGAAAAAAACGCGGCGGGAATAACAAGCAATCGAAAGGACAATGGAAAAAGAAAATATTTGATTCCTACTAGACGCCATTCGACCAATTTCTTTTCTTTTATTTTATTTGCCAATTCATGAAATTTGTCGAGATAATTCAAATTTTGTCATCTTCTTTTGTTTATACTTGATTTACTAATTTTTTTTTTTTTTTTTTTTGAGTGTTTTGTTTCTTTTTTTGTTTATGATTTAATGATCTATGTTAATTTTTTTGTATAAGAAGTTGCTTATGCTTAAGAAGAATCATATAAATTAAATTTTTTTCAAAATAAACGTGATGCGAAGAATTTTTATCGATGATGGAATTACGAGAAGTGATGAATGATGGTTAGGAGGAAATCGAAAGAGGAGAAAGAAAAGATGGAAGCGACGATAATCATTATTTTGTAAAAGCAAAAAGATCGTGCGCCCTTCTCCTACCGAAGTAAAATTATCCTTAGCGATTGGTAAGGTGAAAGTGAAATCATATCGGTGTTCTCTTTTTATCTATTCTTACAGATGGGAGATGTATTGGATGTTTGTAGGGTGGAAAAAAGGTCTTACTCATATCTTAAGGTTTGTGTTATTGACGATTAACAAATTCCCTTTTCAGACCTGGCCTTTTTGGTAAACGTTACGAGAAAAATTTTTTGGTTTTGAAAATGAAAAAGAACTATCGAGGGAAAAATTAATGATTATAGAATAATATCGTTCCAGCAATATTATGAGAGTCAAATCGTGGCGGGATGAAGATGTAAGTCTCCTTAAATCATACGACCATTGTAATATAAGTCGCGATCATCAACTGGCGATGGATATCCACACCTGTAGGGGTCATAGGGTTCCTTTACGACCGGTTTGAATGCAGTTATGCGACCGCTCGACGTCAAAAGAGAACCATCCACCGGCGGAGACAGACAAATTCGACCGAAGGAGTGAACTAGATCGACATTGTTGTTCAGCATGGCGGTGGCGGTTGCAGGGTAGCTGGCTCGGTGGAAATGCTGGTAGTCGGGCGATATTTCTATCGATTTAAAACAATCCGTTGGGGATTGAGGGCTCGGAGGTCCATTATATAGATTGATAGATGAATGGTTATTATTATTGTATACCGGTAGGGATATGGTCAACGCTTCTTGAGGTACGTGTTGTTTGCGTGGTTCAAATGCACTAATTTTCGAGAAGGCGATCGGGAGATGAAGAATGATTAGTTGGTGGAACGGACGATAAAAAAAAAAAAAACAGGAAAAAAATCGAGCGTACGTGTTATATTCTTTCCAGTGAGGGTTATGGGACCTCAGGTGCCTTGTGAGGGTGGTGCGACGGGTGAAGGTCTTACCGCATCCGGAATGTGAGCACACATAAGGTCGTTTGCCCGTGTGAATTCTTCGATGACGTGCCAACGATGAAGACTAAATTAGATGGATCAACGATGTTAACTTGGCTTTCTTGGGCGCACTTATCGATCGATCGAATGATTTATTGATTTATTGATTGATTGATTGATTGATTGATTGATTGATCGATCGATTAGTTGATAAATGGATACTCACGTCACTGAAAGATTTGTTGCAATTCAAGTGTTCGCAGATGTGTGGGCGCTCTCCTGTGTGAGTACGAATATGAACGGTCAACGCTGAACGTTGTATGAATTGTTTCCCGCATCCGCTCCACTCACACCGATAGGGACGTTCTCCGGTGTGAATTCTCTTGTGCCTGACGAGGTCAGAACGTCGTGAAAAAGCTTTTCCACAGAAACCGCATTCGTACGGACGATCACTGTCAATTGAGTCCGCACTGGGAGTGGGACTCGTGGGTCCTTTGAAATCTTCATTGTTCAGCAAAATTCTGATGTCCATTTTTTTCAGGGGCATTAATAATGTTCGAGTGTGTTCGGCAAAAGGTGAAGGCACGGAAATATTTAATTTTCGCTTTTCCGGCGTCGAATTAGAGCGTGTGTGATTGAATGCGATGGGGGGAATGATATTGCATAAAAAAAAAAAAAAGGGATGATGGTGTGATTTTTTTTCTTCGTTTTGTCAAGGTTTTTTTTTTTTTATTATTATTATTTTTCCTTCAGGAAGAAAGAAAATTTTACCGACGTCAACACGATGTACCGGTTAATATATATAGAATAAATACATATATATACACATACAGTATATATACATACATACATACATACATAGATATATATATCTATAAAATATATGTATACAATGTATACGAAAGTAGATGGGATAATAATTATTAATCGGGCTGTTGACGTTACTGTCTAGAAGCGTTGAGCGATAAGGACTCACAGCAAAATCAACGAAGTCATGAAGAAAAAGGCAGTTCCGGGGTCTATATATCCGAAAAAAATTTTTGAATTTTTTTTTTTTTTTTTTTTTTTTTTTTTTTTTTTTGGAAAATTTGTTTTGTGGAGCAATAATTGTCGTAAACAGGCAGCTTGCAGAAAAGGAGTTTAAGAAACGTTTAATGCTTGCAATAATACCTTTTCTTAAATATATATGAAAAAAAATTTTTTTTTTATTGTTTACTTTATTGAATGAATAACTATTATTATATATGGATCGACAAATCACCCGAACATATAAGAGATATCACACATCCCGATTTCCGAGAAAATAATTCTGCACATCGAAACGGGAAACACTTGCTTCAATCGTGACCTGATACGCACGTACATATGCGTTTGCGTTGTATTATGAAATTGAAATTTTCCGGTCCCGAAAATTTGTGGAAATTAAGATTGACGATTGTCCATACTCTCAAGCGATCATGACCTTCCAGCATGTCCGGTGTGCGCACGCAACATACAACACATTACCGTAGTATTGTTCGTGTACGCACCAGGATGGTGTCTCTTTCTTTCTTTTTTTTTTTATCAATCACCCTTTCACACATTTATCATCCATTGACATCATCGTCACCATCGTCGTCCTCATTGTTAAGTTCGTGCGACATTCTTCGTGCATTGCCCATTGGGGAGGCATTCAAGTTGGCAATTGAAAAAAAAAAAAGGAAGGAAAAGAGGAAGATTCATTGTTGAATCCACACCTCTATCAGATAAGATGCAGTTTCATGCTAAGATTAACAGGGCTAGCCTTTTTTTTCTTTCGCAATTGTAATCCTCTTTCTTTCGAGAGAAGGAACCAAATTTTTCTCTGCACCATGCGATTGATATCACTCGTCGGATGGACGGTTATTCAATTCCACCCATCGAATTGAACCCGAGGTTAACGCGTTAAACGAAGCTAGACCCCGCGCCACCCACCTGCCTGCCTGCACACCATAATTACGAACAAAATTTTTAACAAGAATGGAGGTGATGTGATGACAATTTAATGGTTAGTCTCGATTGGCCACCTGGGGTTCCTAATAATTTTACATTATCTTGTACCACGCGTTAGAAATGTCGTCATCATTGTATCAGAGTTTCACGGAGACCAATAGCTTTGATCGAAAGGTTTGATGTCATTTACACACGGTCAATCACCGACGGGCTCGTATTTAGTACGGGGCAGAATTGGTTCTAGCCGGTGATCACCTGTTTCCCTCCGATTGAGCGTAGTGGACTTTGGGGGAGCCCATTCTCATTGTTGTTCCTCGCTCGCCCAACTCAAACAATCTCACGATGATTGACCAATGCTAATGCCGGCCGGGCATCACACCAATGATCTGATTTTGCAACCGGGCACCTTTGTAAATGGCCACGTTTTCCAACAAAATGACCCACGACAAATTTTCGTATCATCACATTGAATAAACTTCCCATATCGTCATTAATAATTTGACTTTAATGCGCAAATTCTAATGCACTTTAATTGGCAAATGTAAATTTAAAACCATGATGGAGTGTAATGATCTCGTAAAGGTGTAATCTGCTTAGGTAATGTGAATTTACTGGTCATTTACGAGCATTTGCATGCATCGTGCATGAATACGTAATATACGTCTATGCCGAAATCATTTATTTTTTAAACTTTGTGTCGGCATAGTTTAATTTAAAAATCTGGTTTATAAACCGAACAAATAAATAAATAAATAAATAAATAAATAAATAAATAAATAGGTAGATTACGCTCACTGTAGTGTAGAAGAAATAAGCAAATAAATAAGCGAATGAATAGATAAATAAATGAGCAAGTGAACGAGTAAATAAATAAATAAATGGATGAATGAATGAATAGACGAATGAAATAAGATAAAATAAAAATAAGACAAAATAAAAATAAGACAAAATAAAATAGGATAAGTTGAAATGAAATGAATAAATAAATAAATTAAATGAAATAAAATAAGTGAGATAAATGGATGATGAATGGATCAATGCGAATACATTAAATGAACAAACATTTTATATATTGTAGTATATAGTAAGCCAAACCCGATGACCTCACACATTCACATATCGCAATTACGCGCACGATATTTATTTGACTTACCGTGCACATAGTCCTAGACTATTGGCGACATCCCCAAAATAAAAAGTGTCAAAACGTAAACAAACATTTCATTTCGTGGTTCGGAATCACCGCTTAAGGCTAAAGAGGATATTTTTTTTTAAAAAAAAAGATCATTTGTTTGTTTATTAATACTATCCTGACAAAAAAAAACAAAGATTATGTCATAAAGCGCGCGCTGTCCTGGTAGTGATCCGTTCGTCATTAAACACAGCATCAGGTTCATTTCGCTTGACTCACGGTTTATCTGCGAATGCGCACGCACGCACGCACCCGCCCACGTTGTGCACCTTTTGAAAAGGGAATGAATCATTTCGTCGTGATGGTCAACAAGGTGCATTCATTCATTCATTCATTCACTCCCTCATTCCCTCACCCCCCCACCTACCCCCGCCAATTCATCCATTAATTCATACGTGCCCGCCACCACCACTCGTAACCTTAACCGGGATGAATGAGATTTGCATAAGGAGGAATCATGTGTGTGACCTGTCAGATGCAAGACAAACGTTTGAGGTTTCTGACGTCAAGACTTGTCATCATCAACGGGGGGCAATGGGAGGACGATGAATTCATAATGATCGCGTGTCCTTACTTTCTAAAAAAAAAAATAATAATAAACAAACAAGTCTGACACTTTTCAAAGGTCTCAAAAAAGGAAGTACATTGATTCCATGCCGTACACGTGGCTTATATAATGATGACAACGCTTGACTAAAAAAAGGGCAAAGAAGGAATTCCTTGGTGTCCACTCGCAGACATTCGTTTCATCTTAAATTGCTTTTTTTAATGTAATGTCAGAAATCTATTTTCACCCCCTTTGGTGAGACAGTGAAACAATTGGTTCCCACCACCTCATTCCCGAAGGCCACCAGCAAACCATACCAAAGTCGGCTACAAATATTTACACATGAAATCACAAACATTTGATTCATCCGTGGTTTTCGCACGTGGCAGCACGAATTTAACATCTCGGGTGACACCAGGTAAAATTTTTTCGAGAAGTCTCCGTCCGGACAATGTCACAATGTCACATCACCATCACACATTCTTATGAATAAAATTTAAATTATTCCGTTTGTTTAACAAAAAAAAAAAGATTTTTTTTTTCTTTTTTTGAAAAAAGGACTAACCGTATGCAACCTCCTTCTAATAATTGCCATTGTTCCTTGAGAAGTTTGTCATACATTCTCCCGTTATCGAAATGGGCAATACGGGAGGTCAATCTGACAGGATCTCATTGGGTCCCTTCGTGCTAACCATTAAGGGCTAACCTCAATTTCCCGCGTGTGATTTTTCCGCCGGACGATGATGCGAGTGATTTTGTAAGCATCGTACACTTTTGGAATAATGTGCGGGTGAGTGTGAAATAACCTGTCAAAAGATCCCATTTCACGGATATAACAAGAAGGTGACACCAACCTGTTGTGCCAATTACTAAGCAAAGAAAAAAATTTGGTAATAAATAGTATGAACATTAAGATGACTTCCTTTTATGCAACCCATATTTGACGTATTTGAGAGAAGTTATCATACGACGACCAATGACCTCTTTTTTTTTTTTTTTTTTGGTGTGTTAGGGTAGATGTGACTTACGTATCACCGCATACATTGATTAATCATTGATTTTTGGTTCCCTGTTCGGTGCAAGGGTTTGTTAAGGTCGAACGATACATGAAACCGGGATCCAATCACCGCGCGGTGAATTTCTTATCTATGTAATTGAGTATGAGGGTGAGAATGAAATCAATTAAATTAGGCAGA